CCACCTGGGAGGACCCGAGGAGGGAGGTGCTGAGGCGGGAGTTGGCGGCGGCGGCGGCAGTGGCTTCCGCTTCTGCAAACGGAGGTGGGAGTATCCTCCGTCAACAACAGCAACAACTTCTTCTGCCCAACTACTCCTCCTCCCAGCCAAACATTGTCCAGCAGTTTGCACAGCAGCAGCAACAGCAGCTCGGGGCGGCTACTTCCACCTCAGTCTCTCCGCCCAACTCCTCTTCAACTCCTGAAAACCAGAAAACCGCTTTCGAACTGTCCACTCTTCCGCTGCCTGAGGGCTGGCAGCAGACGACGGTCCCCGGCACCGGTGACACCTACTACGTGAACGTCGCCGAGCAGACCACCAGCTGGTACCACCCGGCCGTGGCCAGGCAGGCCCAGCTGAAGGCGGTGGCGGTGAAGGTGGCCAATAGCGGCGGCTCGCTGGAGCCGCCCTCATTTCTGATGACGTTGCAGCAGAGCCAGCAGAACCAGAATCAGCAGCAACAGCAGCAGCAGGCCATTCCCTCTGAGCTGCTCTCTGCCATGGAGAACATGACCACTGAGGCGGGGGCGAGCAGTCCAAATGATCAGCAGCAGCAGGAGCAACAGCAGCTTCTTCAGCAGCTTCAGAATCAGCAGCAGCAGCAACTTCAGCAGCAGCACCAGCAGAATCAGCAACAGCAGAATCAGCAGCAACAGCTGTCCAGCGTCGGCAGCAGCCCGTCCATTCTGCGCGACCTTCAGCTGGAGCGGGAGCGAATGCGCCAGCGACAGGGCGAGATTCTGCAGAGTCCGCAGCTGCAGCTGAGGAACGCCCCTCAACTTCAGAACAACGGCAACAACAACAGCAACAACAACAGCTTTCTCTCCAGCTCTTCGCCTTCTTCTTCTGCAGTTTTCACCAACCCCAACTCTGACCCTTTCCTCTCTTCAGTGGCCATTGGCATCAATGCAAACGCCAACGCTCTCAACAACTCCATCTTCTCGGGGGCTTTGGTTGGTGCTGGTGGCGGCGGTGGCCACAATCGCCAGGCCTCCCTGGACTCTGGTCTGATGCTGGGAAACACTGGNCAGCACTCGCTGGGGAACATCACCACCACCGGAAACAGCATCAACAGCAGCCTTGGGAGTCATCCGAACATCATCAACAGCTTTGGCAGCGAGCAGATGTTGCTAGTAAATGGTGGTGGTCACCAGCAGCAGCTCCAAAATCCAAATCAGCCTCTCTTTGGAGGCAATCACCACCAATCAGTCCTGCAGGCCCCACAGGCGTCAGATGAGCTGATGCTGATGCAGACCACTCAGCCGATGCAGTCGCAGTCGTTTGGTGCGACGCAAAACAGCAACAACAACAGCACCAACAATAACAATCAGCAGCAGCAGCAGCAGCACATCGACGACCTCTCCTTCATCGACTCCATCGATCTCATCTCGCCCTCCCTCGACATGGACATCCTCAGCGACATGGAGGAGCTGCTGAGCACTAACCGCGACAACATTATGACCTGGTTGTGAAGGAAACGAGAAAAAAATCAAAACAACAAATTCCTTCAATTTCAACTCTTTCACTTCTTTGGTCTCTCCTTTGGTTGTTGGCCCGTGGGGTTAGCCGTGGTCTACCCACCTACCCGAATCACAAGTCCATTTCTTCCTTTCCTCCCCCTTCTTTTTATTTATTTTTATTTATTTATTCCTCCTCTTCCGCGCAATCACACAACAAAAAAGATGAAAAATAAAAAAGGAAAACATCACCACCGCCGCTTGCACCACCGTCACTACGACCGTCTCCATTGAACCACAGTGCCACAAAATACACACCATCGAGCTTCATTCACCTCCAACAACAAAAAAGGCAAATCAGCAAAATCAGAGAAAACCACAATCGGACAAAGAACAAAGACACATCCTCAGTGCACGAGTGCGGAACACATTATCACGGACACCATCTCTTTGCCACCTCCAGCGACGTTGTCTGCAGACTCATCGATCATCGGCGATTGGTTCCACTACTGCTGATGCCGGTGGAGGTTAACAGCATTCATTGTTGTCATCTTTCTCATCTTCCTGTCACCCCCTGCTGGGCACTACACAGTAGCACCTTTTTTACTTCACACCCTCATTTTCAGTGCGCCAACGTCATCAGCACCTGTCAAACAAAGCTCAGTGACACAGTGTGTGTGTGTGGTTGAAACACTTTCAGACCTCAATTTCAACTGCTGTTAACAACCGCCGCAGCAGTTTCAATGTCAAAGTGAGGGTTGTGCAAAAAGGAGAGACTGCGCATCCAAAGCAGAGTGCTCAAAGGTAACCTCAATGGTNTGTGTGTGGTTGAAACACTTTCAGACCTCAATTTCAACTGCTGTTATCAACCGCCGCAGCGGTTTCAATGTCAAAGTGAGGGTTGTGCAAAAAGGAGAGACTGCGCATCCAAAGCAGAGTGCTCAAAAAGGTAACTTCAATGGCTCACCTTGAGCAGCAGCAGCGGCAGCAGCTGTAACAGACATCGCCCAGCGACGATGACGGTCATTGTCGATTGCACCGATCGACGATTTGGAGCAGCAGAA